ATGTCAAAGTTGCAAAATTGTGCTTAGGCATTTCGATTTGTTTTACCCTCGGGCGGGAAGGGGTTAAGGAAGAGCCGAGTCCTTCAGAGAACGGAAGAGAAAAACGTTTTTAAAGTCTGAAAGACGCCGCCAGGAACGTACCTTGTGCAGATATTCTGAAAGGACGTAAACAGCCAGAGCGGAGCCCAGCCAGCTGACCATACACAGCACCCAGGAGAAGACGTGGATGAACATGGTCTGCATCTTCTTCCGGAGATCAGGACGGCACTCGGTCTGCAGCTCACTCAGCAGCTCCTGGAAGGACAGCAAGGAGAAGGTTCCTCACACAGAGACCTACAGCAGTCTAATGGTGGCCAACTGCGCAAGAGTCCTCTACCACCATCAGCTAGAGCTCTGTCTCATTTCCTGGCTGGAGGACGTCCAGCATCATCCAGATATTTCCTCCCCAGCCTGACTGTCCCACATGGAAGAAAAATATATTTGAAATATATTTTAAAAATATTCCTCCAAAATATATTGCCATATATTTGAAATGCTACAATTTTGGCCATATTCAATAGATTTCAATTATTTATATATATATATACATACATACATACATACATACATACATACCTACACACACACACTGCATGTTGAAAATGCGTTTCTATTACAAAATATATGAAGACTGTTTTTAAAAATACATTTCAAATATACTGTATGTCTTTAAAAATACAAAATCTACATTTTTGGGATGCATTTACATATATATGTAAAAATATATGTTAAAATGACTTTTTTGTATGTTAAAAAAAAATCTGAAGAATATATTTAAAAAAATATATATTTTTTAAAATATATTCTTCAGATTTTTTTTTACATATATATATATATATATATATATATATATATATATATATATATATATATATATAAAAAAAGTAATTTTAACATATATTTTTACATATATTTGTAAATGCATTCCAAAAATGTAGATCTGTATTTTTAAAGACATACAGTATATTTGAAATGTATTTTCAAAAATATTTTTCATATATTTTGTAATAAACTTTTTTTCACATATTTTTCATATATTTTGTAATAAAATTTGAAATGAATTTTTAAAAATACTTTTCATATATTTTGTAATAAAAAAGCATTTCAACATACAGTATATATATATATATATATAAATATATTGAATATGGCCAAAATTGTAGCATTTCAAATATATGGCAATATATTTGGGAAGAATATTTTTAAAATATATTTCATATATTTTTATTCCATATGGGATCCCTGGCGCCGCCCCTTTTATTAATTGGATTTCAGTTCTGTCAATCAGGGAGGCTCAGCATTACCTGTGGGCATTGCTTATGTAAATACAGCCTGCCTAGGAACACCCACTCCTCCAGACTGACACCCACCCAGTCGACCCTCTCTTTGCATCAGGACTGTGGGCTCTTGAGAGGAGTACTGAGGCAAGGTGCCATGATGGTTTCAGTACAGCACCTTTCCAGCCTCTCCCACCAGTCATGATCTGCCTGCATTGCATAGAGTAGCATAGAGATCCAGTTATGACATCACTGGGTCCAAAATAAGGAAAAATGGAAATATTTTGTTTCAAAATTTCATTATCGTATTGATGCAGGGGGGAGGGAGACCACTGAAGGTCTGCTTGCATTGCATAGAGAAGCATAGAGATCCAGATATGACATCACTGGCTCTAAAATAATTTGCTTTCTTTATTTTCACCTGGTGATCCTGCCAGTGGGTCTGTTAATTTTCAGCAGAACTTACAGTCATGTGGAAGTAGCAAGTTGGAGGGCTCAGACAAACTATTTACCACTGATGGGGGTACTAAAAATGATCAGCTTTTATTTTTGTAAAACCTTTAACCCAAAAGGAACAAAACAGTTTGTTGTAACTTTTTATAATGTATTATATGGATTTCTAAGACTTCCCCTCCCTCAGACTGACAATGCTGCTGTCTAAATGTGCCTCCTGTGCTCCTTCGTCCAGTGGCCAGATCACCAGGTGGAAAAAGGAGGGAAAAAAGCCTACAAAAAAAAAGAAGAAAACTAATGCAGCCATGATTGGCAAGCTGCAATATATCACATTTTTGGTTTTGGGTTCAACTGCAATAGTCGGTGATTTGGCCTCACCTTCAGCTGCATGTGAATGTTGTCCTTCTGGCGGTGCACGGATCGGATCCGGGTCACTTTGAAGTCCCAGGAACCAAAGACTTTCAGAGCTAGAGCTCCAGAGAAGAAGCCGACTCGGAAACTCTCCCCGAATGAACATGACATCCTAGAAGGTGACAAATGAGGACGGGGAGGGATCAGTGTCACCTGGTAATGCGGTGTGGAGTACAGCAATACGGCCCAACCAGAGAGTGGCATTAGTCCAGTGAAAGAAGAATTCTGATTGGCTCTTATGATCCTGCTGGGGGGAGCCCTCGTCTCTGCTCCCACCTTGTCTCAGCAGTCGGCAACAGAGAGGAGAAGAGAACTCCTCCGCCAGATCCTGCATTCTCTGTGCAGCTGCAGCACCCCCTCGTATCTGCCCCCACCTTGTTTTAGCAGTCGGCAACAGAGAGGAGAAAAGAACTCCTATGCCAGATCCTGCATTCTCTGTACAGTTGCAGCACCCCCTCTTCACCGCCCCCTCCTTGCATCAGCAGTTGGCAGCAAAGAGGAGGAGAGAACTCCTCCACCAGATCCTGCATTCTCTTCTGCAGCTGCAGCACCCCCTCGTCTCTGCCCCCACCTTGTCTAAGCAGTCGGCAACAGAGAGGAGGAGAGAACTCCTATGCCAGATCCTGCATTCTCTGTACAGTTGCAGCACCCCCTCTTCACCGCCCCCTCCTTGCATCAGCAGTTGGCAGCAAAGAGGAGGAGAGAACTCCTCCACCAGATCCTGCATTCTCTTCTGCAGCTGCAGCACCCCCTCGTCTCTGCCCCCACCTTGTCTAAGCAGTCGGCAACAGAGAGGAGGAGAGAACTCCTCTCCCAGAGCCTGCACTTCTCTGTTCAGCCGAAGCACCCTCCGTCTCTGCCTCAGCAGTCAGCAGCAGAGAAGAGGAGAGAACTCCTCTGCCAGATCCTGCATTCTCTGTGCAGCCGCAGCACCCCCTCGTCTCCGCCCCCACCTTGTCCCAGCAGTCGGCAGCAAAGAGGAGGAGAGAACTCCTCCACCAGATCCTGCACTTCTCTATGCATCCAGGGGAAGGCTGGTCTCTGCCGCCCCCCCCCCCCCCCCATCTCAGCAGCTGGCAGAAGGGAGGACAACTCCTACAGATTCTGTGTTTTCTGTGCAGCCACAGCACCTCCTCATCTCCCTCCCCTCGCCTCCCCTGGTCTCTGCATTCAGCTGACTCCAGCCCTCCTCCAGACCCTGCACTTTCTGCTTCTTAGCTTCCTCCAGTCCAGCAGCAGCACAAGATAAATGGGGGGGGGGGGCACTGGGATGAAGGAGAGGGTGGGGGACTCTTGACATCTAATGTATGGGGGGAGGGGCTCTGGACATCTAGTCTTACAGATATAATTGGCCCTTTGAGGGGGCAACCATAATGCTGATGCGGCCAGCAATGAAACAGAGATTGACACCCCTGCCCTAGCAGGTACAACATTGGCGGCCATTACAAAAGGGATAGTTTACAACATGGAGTGTCTCCTGTAATTCTTGTGTATGCCCCAGAGGCACAACTAGAACCTTCAGAGCCCCAGTGCAAGAAACCATGAAGGGCCTCCAGGGCTCTTTCCATCGGTTCCAGGGTCCTTCCTTCTGAGCTCAGGGCCCTTTATTACGGTCCTGCAGTGAGACCCTTAAACATGTTTTGTAAAAGGGTTCTTCCTTGCTGCTGTCTTGGGGGGCCAGGGCCCGGTCGCACGTGCACCCTGGTAGTTCCGCCACTGGTATGCCCTATACTCTCTACCGGTGACAGGATTCAGCTGGCTCTGCCATGAAGGATGGACCTTTGTTTTTAATGTTATGGCTGACTTAATATACTTTAATACCCTCTTGATATATATCTCCAACCCCTGAGAAAGATTTAGAACGAAACGCGTTGGGGCATCTCTCATGAAGTCATCTACTTTGCATAACGTGAACTGGATTGATACCTGTGTCATGTGGGAATGTTTAGAAGATATGGATGTTCCAATCACTGTAGAGTTATATTATATAGTAGGTCTTTTCAGTCGTTTTCCTTTACTTAGGAATTTTATATGTCTTTTGTAAAAAACAAAAAACAAAAAAAAAAACGTATAAAAAGTTTTTATTTTACCATTTCTTTTTTTATTGCTGTTCTTTGTTCCTTTAAAGTCCCATTCACAACTGGTTTGGGATTATGACACTGTCCCATCTGACTCCCAATTGCCATGTATCAACACTGTCACATGGGGTGGGGCCAGGGGCGTATTTACCACAAGGCATTTGCCTAGGGCGGCATTTTTCAGGGAGGCAGCACCGCCCCCCTGGAAGAGGGGATGGAAGAAGGGACACATGCGGATTGGGGACCAGGTGGGATCTGAGAGAGGCTGCAGGCTGCTTGAATCTCCTCCCTGGGGATGTTCAGAGCTGTGGAGGCTAGTGTCTCTCTGTTGCTGGGAGGGGAGTGGCCGGTGTATGGGGGCAACGGTAGCGGAAGGCTCTCTCGGGTGGGGTGGCAGGGGTATTGTTGGTCAATGACGGCGGGGGGGTGAATTTTGTGTTGCCTAGGGCAGCACAAAACCTAAATACACCACTGGGTGGGGCAATGACCTTCAACCACCTAGGGCAGCTCAACCACCGTTGGATACCAGAGCTTACTCAGGGGAGGCTCCTTCGGTGTGGGGGCAAGGAAGGGGCGCAGATCTGTTGGTACTCCCACTCTACCATGTGACACCAATTCTTTATGCCCACACAAGGGCAACTTGAACTATCAGCAAAAGGAGTGCAACGTACAAAGTTTCTTACTTGTACACCAAAATGATGCAAGTGCTGAGGAAGACGAGTCCGATGGTGAAGAGGTAAGCCAAGGGCATGTGATACGGAAGCCAGGCAGGCTTGAGGTTTTGACACGTGGACATGTTGTACCCGGTAGAGCAGCCTTCATTCAGGGTCACGTTGCTGTAATAACCATAATACATCACCGTATCGGAGAAATAGCCCTAGAAATATTAAAAGACTTGTAACTTTTTCCTGTTTCTTGTGCGACAAGCACTTTTGGTGCCCATAACTACAATGTTTAATCTGCGAGTGTGCCATGTTTCTAGGTCTTTTCACTTACCGCCCCAGTGAGAAGCTCCAGGCTGGTGAAGGAACGAGGGTTCGAAGAATTATGGGGATGTACAGCCTGAGGGGTGACAATAAACAGGAGGCACAAGAGGCTCATAAAGATATTAAACCCCAGGAGAGTCTTCAGAAAGAGGAAATAGGAGAGGACGCTGGAGCCAAACCGCCCTCCAATCTGCTTGAGAGCCACGTGCCAGGGCCGCTGGGCGCAGATCATAGACAGAAAGGACAGCAAACACCTGTGCATGGTCTGAAGGAGGACAGAGATGTCTTAATTATGAAAAGCACAAAAAGGGGTAAACCACTACTATTATTATATATACCACTTACACTATATCAAAAACCTAAACTTTTCTTTTTTTAATTTTGGATAAACCAGGGAATAGATCAAACCTCTGTCTGTTTTTTAGAGGAATCTGAACATCATCGCTATTAGTGAGTTTCTAAAGACTTGACAGACTATCCACCAATCCCACCATAGCTGGTTACCACCATGCTACTCTCCCACTAACAGCAGCCAGCCAAGAGCTTGGTGTCTGGTTGTTACTTGCTGAGAGATTTATTCACATTGCTGCTGAAGCCATACTGCAATCTCACCATGCTGATACTGTCTGAGATGTTGCTGCAGCAAGGGTTGGCATTGCTTCTCTTCAAGACTGAACCAGGTTCCAATGTCAAGTACCTGAAATAGAAACAAAGCACAATGAACAGATTCTGGATTATTTAAAATGTTTCACACCAATTAGGAACAAGCAATCACACACACAATCATTTTACATAAGGGGGATATGATTTCCATGTATAATACATAAGGGGGGATATGATCTCCATGTATAATACATAAGGGGGGATATGATTTCCATGTATAATACATAAGGGGGGGATATGATCTCCATGTATAATACATAAGGGGGATATGATTTCCATGTATAATACATAAGGGGGGATATGATTTCCATGTATAATACATAAGGGGGGATATGATCTCCATGTATAATACATAAGGGGGGATATGATCTCCATGTATAATACATAAGGGGGATATGATCTCCATGTATAATACATAAGGGGGGATATGATCTCCATGTATAATACATAAGGGGGGGATATGATCTCCATGTATAATACATAAGGGGGATATGATCTCCATGTATAATACATAAGGGGGGGATATGATCTCCATGTATAATACATAAGGGGGGGATATGATCTCCATGTATAATACATAAGGGGGGGATATGATCACCATGTATAATACATAAGGGGGATATGATCTCCATGTATAATACATAAGGGGGATATGATCTCCATGTATAATACATAAGGAGGGATATGATCTCCATGTATAATACATAAGGGGGGATATGATCTCCATGTATAATACATAAGGGGGATATGATCTCCATGTATAATACATAAGGGGGGGGTATGATCTCCATGTATAATACATAAGGGGGGGTATGATCTCCATGTATAATACATAAGGGGGGATATGATCTCCATGTATAATACATAAGGGGGGGTATGATCTCCATGTATAATACATAAGGGGGGGGGGGTATGATCTCCATGTATAATACATAAGGGGGGGTATGATCTCCATGTAGAATACATATATATATATATATATATATATATATATTTATATTTATTGAAATATTTATTGAAATATATTGAATACGGACACAATTGTAGCATTTCAAATATATGGCAATATATTTGGGAAGAATATTTTTATATTTTTAAAATATATTTAAAATATATTTTTTTTTCCATGTGGGATCAGGCAAGGGAATAATAACCACTTAAAAATCATATTTCATTTGTACGGCTAATAACAGTTACTCCTATGGCACACCATCACTGATGATGAGGTTTCATCAATAAACACCGCAGATTTGGATAGCTCAGGTAAGGGTACTCTGTTACCTCAACTCCCTTTTCACCTGAAGACTTAATGGGAAACTCTTCAGCAGGCGAATTCTCTGGGTTCCCGACGTCTTCTGCAGCTCCAGCACCAGCAGCCTTTGATGTTCTATAGGAGGTACATACAGTACAAAACATAAAACGAACTGAAATTTTTTCCTTCTCCTCCCCTTCAACAAAATGCTTTCAAAGGATCAAAGCCTTTACAAACCCAAATATATATGACTTTCATTGGATGAAGACCCATTTCAACATGTTAAAGCTTGTGAGTAACATATACTTCCATTGGGTCACATACACGTCCAGTGGGTCGCATACACGTCCAGTGGGTCGCATACACGTCCAGTGGGTCGCATACACGTCCAGTGGGTCGCATACACGTCCAGTGGGTCGCATACACTTCCAGTGGGTCGCATACACTTCCAGTGGGTCGCATACACTTAAACTGCCAAATTCATATTAAAGCCCAACTCCAAGTATGAATGAACTTTAAACAGTTCAAATGGAACACACGGTTCTTCTCGGACACGCGCCTGCGGGCAGTGCTGTAGGAATCATATATATGATCATCAGCTACATACAGTTTCTATAGCGTTGACCACAAGCGTACCTGCAGGTGAAAGAAATATGGGAATAGATTTGGTAGGAATGGGATTTTTAGGGTGCTACACATCCATAAACCAAAACATAACGTATTTTTCGCTCCATAAGACGCACTTTCCCCCGCCCCCCCCCCAAAAAGGGGGGGAAATGTCTGTGCATCTTATGGAGCGAATATTGACCAGGACTCCCCCCCCCCCCCCCCTCCCCGCCACCGTGTTAGAACACCGGGCCGGCCGCTCGGCTCTTCTGTGGCAGAAGAGAGGAGGAGTGTGATTCAGCAGGGCAGCAACGCCAGGCAGGGCCCAAAGCAGATGACCCTTAAAGCGCAGTTCCAGCTGAAGACAAAAAAAAAAAAACTGTAGCTGCTGACTTTTAAAATACAGCCACTTACCTGTCCATGGGTCCAGTGATGTCCTCACCACCGTTGTTTTCACCGGCCATCTTCTCTCCCTGGCGTCGGCATCTTCAGTGTGGGCACCCGGCTGTGGCAGCTTGCGGCTTCACAGCCGGGTGCCCACTGTGCATGCGTGAGAAGCGCTGTGCTTTGTGAATAGCCCCGTTGTTTTGTGGGACCTGTCATGTGTCTCAGAGTACTACGGGGAGGGTGGGGCATGGTGGACAACGTCCGCTTCCGATTGCCTAGGCGATCGCAGCAGAAGTGGGAGCGGGTACCTGTCAAATGCGGGTACCCACTCCCCAAAGGTCTGCAGTCTCTGGTCATCTCCTGTACTATGTCCGCAGTCTCTGGTCATCTCCTGTAGTATGTCCGCAGTCTCTGGTCATCTCCTGTAGTATGTCCGCAGTCTCTGGTCATCTCCTGTAGTATGTCCGCAGTCTCTGGTCATCTCCTGTAGTATGTCCGCAGTCTCTGGTCATCTCCTGTAGTATGTCCGCAGTCTCTGGTCATCTCCTGTAGTATGTCCGCAGTCTCTGGTCATCTCCTGCACTGTGTCCGCAGTCTCTGGTCATCTCCTGTACTATGTCCGCAGTCTCTGGTCATCTCCTGTACTATGTCCGCAGTCTCTGGTCATCCCCTGTACGTCCGAAGTCTCTTGGTCATCCCCTGTACTATTTCCGCACTCTCTGGTTATTTTCTGTACTGTGTCCGCAGTCTCTGGTCATCTCTTGTACTATTTCTGCAGTCTTTGGTCATCTCCTGTACTGTGTCCACAGTCTCTGGTCATCTCCTGTACTATGTCCGCAGTCTCTGGTCATCTCCTGTACTATGTCTGCAGTCTCTGGTTATCTCCTGTACTATGTCTGCAGTCTCTGGTCATCTCCTGTACTATGTCCGCAGTCTCTGGTCATCTCCTGTACTGTGTCCGCAGTCTCTGGTCATCTCCTGTACTACATCCGCAGTCTCTGGTCATCCCCTGTACTGTGTCCACAGTCTCTGGTCATCTCCTGTACTATGTCCGCAGTCTCTTGTCATCTCCTGTACTGTGTCCGCAGTCTCTGGTCATCTCCTGTACTCTGTGTGCAAACTCTGGTCATCTCCTGTACTACATCCGCAGTCTCTGGTCATCCCCTGTACTATGTCCGCAGTCCCTGGTCATCCCCTGTACTGTGTCCGCAGTCTCTGGTCATCTCCTGTACTATGTCCGCAGTCTCTGGTCATCCCCTGTACTGTGTCTGCAGTCTCTGGTCATCTCCTGTACTGTGTCCGCAGTCTCTGGTCATCTCCTGTACTACATCCGCATTCTCTGGTCATCTCCTGTACTACGTCCACAGTCTCTGTACACATACATCCTAAAGAAGCCTTGCGGTGAAATATGTAAAAGAAAATGCATAGAGGACCCTGCTAATATGTTTACAAGTGTAGAGGATATCCATCAAATTTATCTCTGTGAAATCTTTCTATGGCTTTAATATAGACTTGTAATAAATATTACTGATTTTTAATTGTTTATGGATGTAGCACCCTAAAAATCCCATTCCTACCAAATCAATTTCAAGAGTCAAATACCCTCCCAGCAGCCAGCTTCAGGTGAAGGCGATTACTGGGATCTGCTGGATGCTGGGAGACACCCACTGGTGGACACTGGAACTGCAGCCCTCCTCCCAGGGAATTACAGTGCCACCAGTAGATGATCCAGATCCAGAGAGCAGCAGTGGGTGGTCTTTACTAAAGGAAGTCTCATGCTGGATTACTGCACAGATCTGGAAGAAAGACACAAAGCTCACCAAGATTCTAGAAGAACACACATGACACACGTGTTTTGACAATATCTACTTCTCCCAGAGTTAAGTAGTAAAGTTTCTTTAGGTGAATCCTTACCTTCTTCTCCACCGGCCACCTCGTCTCTTTGACGCACACTGGGTCTGGCACTGCGATCCATGGTGTACAAAGACGGCCGCTTCTTTGACTGTCTCCTCCTCACTGTGCGATTATAATACTCAGACAACATGGCTCCCTTACAACGTCCTTTGGTGTTATGGAGGGATGAAGAAAGAAAAAGAAATGGTGAGTAGAGAACACCTGGATGGCATATGGCCTTCAAGAAAATCTTAGTATTCAGTCCACAGATGTAAATTACAGCAACCTAGAGCAAAGAGAATTCTGATTTTACAGATATTACTGCTCTAAATTATGAAAACTGATTGATCACGGTTTCCATTTGCACACCTTTGGTATTTTACTGCAAAAATAGAATGGTAAATCAATGTTTTGGTGTTGGTTGTCCAAAATAACTTCATTCCATTTCAAGTTGCCAAAAAACAAAAAAAAAATGGAGACATCCTGAAACCGAACTTTAGACAGGCAGCCATATACAAAGTTGAAAAAATATGTATTGAAGCTGTTTTACATGCCAATGAATTTGTTATTCCGTATAATCAGTCTTATGAGACCCTCACTTGACCAGCACAGCCTGGTTAAGAACACAACCTCAGCCTGTGTTTGGACAGTGACAGAACAGTGGAAGAGTGATTGGGTCACCACTCTTCTCTCTTCTCCTGTCAGCACGATGACCGGTTGTTCAAATGCACAGCAGTAGACCCTAACAGGCTCCTAGATATGTCCCTCTCCTAATCAGAGTTCTGTTATATAGGGGGAATGACGAAGGATTACCTTAGATGCATTAAATTACTTTTTTTTTGGATAGATAAATTGTTTGTTCTTTGATAGATACATTCTTTTGTTGTATTTCTTCCTGGACTTAACCTTAAAAGCCAATGTCCACCAGAAACTATCTATCAGAGTTCAGTAGATATTGACTGCTTGTACCATTAAAAGCACTTGTGTATCTCTCTGGGTCTCCGGCCCTACAAAGTCCACCAAAGACAGTCTAACTGCTATGCTAAACATTTACTTCTCATGCCAAATAGATCCTGGCCAAACAAGCGTAAGCCTATGACCTAAACAAAACAAAAGTAATGAAATTTGAATAATTGGCTGATAGACCAACCAGGAGCACAGGGCCTGCAACATCCTGAAGACCAGAGAGTTGGATAGGGCACATTTGGGACATGTGGGTGGAAGGCGTTGAATCCGAAGGTTGGTTTAGTCTTGCAATGCAAAGTGAAGTCAATGGTATAGAGTTTACTGACCTTGGTTGAGCAGTTCTCATACATGGAAGGGCCTAGCCAGGACACCATCTAGAACAGAGGTGCATATGTGCAAGCACACAGGCCTGGCACATCCACCAGTATGCTGCGTGGTCAAGCATTCAATTCCAGAACTGGCTCCAAACACCCTATTTAAGGAAGGAAGCAGTGACCATGGACTATAGATGATCTTCAGCTTGCCCGTGTTCTTTGCTCCTGTGTATCCTGCATGTATCCTGATCTCTCCGTACCGGCTTGCCTGCCTATCAATTTCCCTTCTGCTCAATCTCTAGTTGTGACCCAAAATTGTTTTAGGACTCTTCTTCTGACCACCTGTGTATGACTCTATTTCCTCCTAACTATTGCTGCCTTATCCTCCTGATTCCCATATATGACCCTGGCTCTGACTTCTGACAACATTCTTAGCTTGTATTCTGTTGACCCTCTCTGTAAGACTCAGATCTTGACCTTGACCTCATTTCTCCAGTTCGGCCTTTCCAGTCTGTTCCTGAATCTTCTATGAGTTTTATCACACCACCTACAGCTGCACCTGACTTGCTCCACCACTATTGTACCCTGTGTTCCTGTGGCTCTTGGCCGCCTGCCTAAGAACCACCTAGTTGGACACTTCCTGAAGCTGCTACCAACAGACCAACGTAAACAGCACCCATGATTCTTTGAGCTCTGCACTCCCTGTCGTTACCGCCAAAGGTGCTAGGAACTTAGCAGTAAGAGAAGCTCTCTTGTCACTTCGGCCTCCAACCAGATGCCTGACAGGCCTAGAGAGGGCATTCTGGTTGAAAGCAGAAGAGATGAGAATTCAAGGACATTTATTTATATGGTAAAAGTCAAACAAAACAGGACAAACCTTTTGATTGTTGTGTACTCTACATTCATCAGGGCTCAAGATGAGGATACGAAGTAACATAAAGAAGAAGGCTTCAGCAGCTGGTAGTGGCAAACGACTCTTTCCTATACACTTTACACTCTGGAATTCCAGTTTGAGTCAAGTGCCTCTTATCATGACATTTAAAATAAGTAAACTGTTAAAAACTCTGAAACATGTTGGACAGTTTATCCATAATTTTATGGTGTGAATAATAAACATCCCAGTTATCAGTGTGGCTTTTCTACAATTCTTAGACCTTTAGCCAAAGTAGCTTTCTATGGTTCAAGTTTTGACAGAACCAAGCATGGGAACCTGTGTACATGTATTATACTAGCACAAGTGTGCCCAATTGTCACATCAGGGATCAGGCATGCAAACAGAACAATTAATTTTATATAGGAATCATTGTACCTACCAATCGTACGACTTGGCATGTTGGAAAGGATTCTCATGGTGGCCATGTAGTGGTCATCATGTCTCTGAGATCTGTGGCCTGTCAGAAGGATAGAAGAGTGAAACACAACCTCCTAAACATTTATCATACACATTACTAATTGTAAGAATGAGATCACACAACATTTCAGGACTTATTAAAGGATAGGGGGGTCCTTTGGCTCTAAAACCCTTATACAGGTTCTCCCACCCTGCTATCTATTATACCCAAATACAGACCTCAGAAGAAGCTAGGACCCACTTTATATTGTCTGTCTGGATCTATGCTGGGTTGGACAGGGCATAGTTTAAATCCATTTTCCTCCTAGAACCTCTACTGAGACTCTGCAGTGTTATCGGAGAGCCAAACCAAACATGATGAGAGGGGGTAAGGTACAGAAACCCGCCATGCTTATAAAATAGCCTCTCATCATGAACGACCAAGTTGGTTTAAAGTTGGTCACCATCCCTTAAAGAAAAAAGAGCAATCCACCCATACCTTTCCTCATCTGCCACATTCTGCATTTTCATCTTGCCCCGTCCATCTCATCACTTGCATCAATCCCTCACATCAGGCTCTACTTCTACAGCCACCATCTCATCATCTTTCCCTGGTAGCATTGTCATCCTTAATCCATCTATATTTATGGGTTTTTTCATGACCCCATTTTCCAGCCTTATTTTGCTGTATGTTCAGACATTACCCAAATTAAACCAAACCTCCCTCTCTCTCCAGATCACATCCCAGCATTCAGTTTTTTTACATCACCAGGGTGTACAGGATGCAAGGGATGTCTACCAGATGGGAGATATGTGTCCCTATTATTTTGGTTGCGGTCCCTTTAATGGGGAGGAAAATAAGCACTGTGGAGTCTTCAGGGATTCTCACCCATACAGGATGAGGGGTTCCAGGCTGATCCAGTAAAGAGGTAAACCCGATTTAGCCCTGGTTTACGCTGATGCAATTTCTGAAGTGTTCCAGAATGCATGGAATCGCATGACAAGTGAAGTAACATGAGTTTCTATGGAGGCCTTTCACATATAAAGGATTTTTTTTTCCCAGCAGGAGCAAATTGTATCATGCTTTGCTCTTTTTTTTGCCCTCCTCTGGATCAACTATGGGTATAGGATTATAACTTTTTTTTTTTGCTGGTGGTGAGCCATATCTTTTTTTGCTGGTGGTGTGCCATATTGTTTTTTCTGTTTGGAAGAAATAAAGACTACTTGCTGTTATCCCGTGGCTGGCGGTGATCTGGACTCCCCCAAATATCACAAGGGATAGCTGCTGGG